CTGGGATTACAGGCGTGAGCCACTGCCCCCGGCCCCCAGCTCTGTTTCTAAGCCTACTAACAAATCATATTCACCCTTCATCATCCAGCCCTGAGGATACCCATGCCCACCTACATCCCGGATGGGTCCCGGTCACCTTCCTCTGTGCACCCTGACACTTATCCAACTATTTATCATTCTATAGACTATATAGAATGATAGCAACTGTGCACTCCTGAAGTAGAAGAATCTAGAACATACCTATCTTCCTATCCTCAGCTCCTAGCACATTGCCTGACTCACAGCAAGCATTCTACATTATTTGTTGAATGGATAAGTGAATAAATGAGCAAGGTAATGAATATTTGTTTAGATGTATTTCTGGAAGTTTCCTTAAAGCCACAGAACGCTCTTCAGCAGATCATTTTGTCTCTGTATCCCTTCTGGATTCTGTATGTTCCTGGGATGCCTGGGTTATGCCCCAGTGCATATGATTTTTTTTTTTTTTTTTCTTGAGACAGATTCTTGCTCTGTCGCCCAGGCTGGAGTGCAGTGGCTGGATCTTGGTTCACTGCAATCTCTGCCTCCTAGGTTCAAGCGATTCTCCTGCCTCAGCCTCCTGAGCAGCTGTAACTACAGGCATGCGCCACCACACCCACTAATTTTTTTTTATTTTTATTTTTTGTATTTTTAGTAGAGATGAAGTTTCACTATGTTGGCCAGGCTGGTCTTAAACTCCTGACCTCAGATGATCCACCCACATTGGCCTCCCAAAGCGCTGGGATTATAAGTGTGAGCCACCGTGCCTGGGCCCAGTGCATATACATTTATTAAGGACAGTCAGCCGTGTGGAGAGGGCTCCCTGTCACAACTTTTTAGAACTGGAAGGATAGAGGCTTCTCAGAATGGCAGACATATCACCCCACATTTTCCGGCAAAACCGAAGTCTTGCTCTCTCTTATAGCTAGTGTCTCACGGAATTTTTGGCAAAGTAATGTTCTCCAAGCTGCTGGGGAAGTTACAGAGGATGGGCAGCATCTAGATGCCCCATGAGTCCCCATTTCCCAACACAGTCCCCTTGGAATCTCTCTCTTTCCCTCTTTATATTCACTTCATTCTTTTCTCTCTGGTCTCACTGGTGTCATTTCAGTCCCTGAGGGTGTGAAGCGCTTTCAAGCCTCAGGGTCTTTGCACATGCCGCTCCCTCTGCCCGGCATGCCCCCTCCACTCCTTTCCCTTTGGGTCCAATGTCACCTCTCCTAGAGCCTTCTCCAGCCCTCCCACATAAAGCAGGTCTCACGTCATCCTAGTTCACAGCCGCTTGTGCTTTCTTTTAGGACGCTTCTCACCACCTGTAGGCTTTGTGGTTCCCCTTCTGCCTGGCTCCACTCTGGAATCTCAGCTGCCTCTGTCTCACCAGGGCTCTCACTCCCTGGGGCCACGCTCCGGGGCTGGCATGCAGCAGATGTCCAATAAATATTTCTTGAACAAATGCATGTCATTCTGTAGGCCTGTGAATCATGTAAGCAGCATTTTCTCCCTCAACTTAAATCCACTGTATTAGGCTGTTCTTGTGTTACTATAAAGGAATACCTGAGACTGGGTAATTTATACAGAAAAGAGATCTATTTGGCTCATAGTTCTGCGGGCTGTACAAACATGGCTCCAGCCTCTGCTCAGTTTCTGATGAGGCCTCAGGGAGCTTTTACTCATGGTGGAAGGCAAAGTGGGAGCAAGAGAGAGAGGGGGAGGTGCCACATACTTTTAAAGGCCAGATCTCCCAAGTACTCACTCACTATTGGGAAGGACAGCACCAAGCCACGAGGGGTCTGTCACCGTGACCCAAACACCTCCCACCAGGTCCCACCTCCAACATTGGGAGTTATATTTCAACATGAGAGTTCAAAGGAACAAATATCCAAATTTTATCACCAACAGAGGGTATGTATCCAGGCTTGCATTTTGATAACAGGTCCTCTTTCCTCATTCTGAGTCAGAGACAACTAATTTAAAATTCCATTCACCCACACTGACGATTCAATTTCTATTGTTACGGATTCCATTTGAAAAATATCCTATGCCTTGTGTTCTTCTTCGCTCCTTTAGCTGTGTTTTGTATATTTGTATTATATTTTCCCTGTGACATGCACATTTTGGTCATTGATGATTTCACTTCACCAGAAGAACATTATTCTTTTTATTTCATTGCTGAGAATGTTTTTATTCACAGGGAGAGATTTTCGTGGTGGGCCACGTGCAATTTCTGAGTCGTTATTTCCTAATGTGAAGTGTATTTTATAGGTGGCCAGAACGTTATAACTTATTAGAGGGCTTATCTAGAGTTCAGGATAGTGTGTATTACTTGGGAGTTATTCTTGCCCGGGCTGCTTTTCCTGGGAGTGTTATATCTATTCTGAGAAGTCCCTGTGATGAATTGGTGGTGCTTGGTGTGATTGAACTGTTGCTGGTGTTAGTAACAGACGCAGCACATTGACCGTCAAACTTACCCCAATCTTTCCCTGCACGTCTGTGTGTATCTTACTTTCCTAGACGACAGAGACACTGAGTACACCCCAACACAGAGGAGCCCGTGCTCACCGAGAGATTTGCCAAGTGGAGTCCTTTCAAGACGTCCGAATTTCACTGTCTTCGACTTATTAATGTGAAACAAAGAATAGTGTATACGTGTGTGTAAATACTAATAGTAACAGCTTCTATTTGTAAACGATGTGCCGTGCGCCCAGCACTACGTTAAGCAGCCTCCATGCAGCACCTCCATTAATCCTGGTGAGCACTGTACCCACTCCAAGGTGAGAATGCTGGCACTGAGTGACCCCGCTTTATGTCACCCAGCGGGTGAGTGGTAGGGCTGGCATTCAAAGCTGGGGAGCCTGATTTTAGAACCCACCACACTGTCTTTATACATAGGTGCATTTGCATGTATATATACCCATACAAATCACACACATATGTATCATCTATACATGCACACACCCAACACGTGCAAACGCTTTCCCCAAGACGCTTGGGGAAAGCCTCTGGCAGAGTATAATTCACAGTTAACTATGGAATCTGGGAAAGGGTAGGACCTTAGGATCGATGCTTACTTTTTACTCTATACAATTCTCTAATCATTTTAATCCTTTGAAACAAATGTGTTATCTCTGTACTAAAAAAAACCCCAAGTTATTGATTTTGCTGTATGTGTTCCCACTGGAAAGCTTATTGAATAATTGAGTGTTACGAATGAATAGCTCATTTTTTTTTTTCTTTTGATCCAGAGGCCTTTAGAAGAGCAAGTAACAAAAATTGGTGGAAGAAAAGCACACATTCAACAGGAAGCAACATCTAGAGACCTTTCTGCCTTCCAGGATGCAAAAAGAAAACAGTTCACAAACAACTTACACCTAAACCAGTAATGTTGACTCCCTGGCTCATACCAGCTGAAGAAGAATTCCAGTTACTGTAGTAAGAATATAAGGTAATATGTTCTCTTCCCCCAACACCCCCCTCTTTGTTTAAACATTCTGACCTCTGTTAATTCCTCTCTAGGATGTGGACTGGTTTGAGGATGCTTGAGGCATGACTGTAGCCAGTACTGCGCATACATATGTGGACATCATAAGACACGTTCTCTGCTTCCTCAGGCGAAATCTGTAATGCTTTGTTTATTCACGTTCTATCCTGCATTTCCACGGCACTTTGTTCTTTGTGATTTTTAGGGTATCTTCCTCCCTCTCTGCTCAGTGAACTGAGCTGCCTGGACAGGCCTTGTGTTTTCTCATTCGATTTTTTGTGTGTGTGTATTTAGCCCTAGTTCCCTCACTAGTATAGTCAAGGAGGTTTTCATGCTTTGAGCCATTTTCAGGAATTATCTACATAGCTTTTGTTCATTTTCTACTGGCTTGTCTTTTTCAATGTTTTTATAGGTATTTTTTTAAAAACACAGTGTGGATGTTATTTGGGAGAGCAGTACTAATAGCAGCTAAAACTTATTAAAAGCTACTATGTGCCACGCAGTCTGCTGAGCACTTTGCATGCTGCCTTTCATTTTCACACGCATTTAGGAAACTGAGTCACAGAGAGGTGAGATAACTTGCCAGAGATTCAGGTACACTCCAGACACATCCCTACACCAATCAGACCTTCTAGCCACCCAGAAACTTTCCCATGTTCGGAGCCTTCTCTGCTTCCTCCACCTGCCCCTTCGCCTCACTGCCTCCTTTTAAAATCTGCCGCATGTATTTTAGGGATGCTCGTATCCGTTTTCAGGAATTCCATGATCTACACACGGATGACACCAAAATCAGAACAGCAATGTCCACCCTTCTCCCGAGCCCTAGGTCGGTGTCTCTGTCCACCTGTGTCTCCTGAAACTTCAACACAGACTTCAAATGCAGCGGCAGAAAACCAGATTCCTTAGAGAAAGGAAGGTCTACCAGACGGCAGGAGCGGCAGGGCTTGGGGCAGCCGCAGGGGCCTGGGAGTCTGAACGTCCCTGGTTTGAATCCAGACTCTGGCACGCCCCATGCGATCATAACATAATGTTTAACGTCTCAAGCCACCTATAAAATGGGGACAACAACAATATCTGCCTGGGGGTTAATAGGGAGGACTGTGTGTGTCTCGGAGCAACAAATGTTGGCTTCTTCCCCGGCAAAGACCCGCGCTTTCTCCTGGGCTCCGGGTTCCCGGGGTGGGGGTGGGCGAGTCCCGAGGGCCCCAGGCAGTGGCACAGTGGTTAGACCCCAGCCTCTGCAGTCGGCCTCGGTTCAGATTCTGGTTCTACCCTTCTCCTGCTGTGGCGAACCAACCCTCCGAGCTCTAGTTTACTCGTGTGAAATGGACTAAGGAGAGTAGCCAAAAAAAATTTTTTTTTTGTTTTTTTAAGGATTACATGTGTCGGTCCATAGTCGTCGCTGGCCACATAGTTAAGTGGTGCGTTCACTCACTGGGCATCGATGGAGCGCCTACTACGTGCCAGGCTTGTTTTACGCGCCGGGGGCCCAGAAGCTCCCAGGTCAGACGAAGTGTAAACTATTCCGACCAGAGCCCTTCAATCTGTATTCCGCTTCGCAGGAAGCTTTCCTCCCTTTATGATTTGCAGCGTGACTGCCTTCCCTCTTGTTAGTGTGTAACTTTCGCGCCGGCCCCCGCAGCCTCGCGCCTGCCTTCCCTCCACGGTCCTCCGCCAAGGTGTTGTAAGACGTCTCCGAACCCGGCGCGACCCTCGCCCACGCCCGCTCCCGGGGGGGGGGGGGCCGCACCGCCCCAGGGGTCCTCGCTAGGGGTTCCTGGAGAAGGGGTGGGAGATGGGGATGCGGGGGAGCACAGGAGCGCGGGCCAGCACCCAGACCCGCTCGGTACCGGGGACCCAGACCTGGGGATGCCGGGCGGCCAGGACCCTGCTACCCTGGCCGGCTCCGGGCGGAGTAACAAGAGAAGGCGCCCAGACTGCATCCTTGCCGGGACCCGGAGCCGCGGCACCACCCCCAGCCCGCCCCACGCTCTCCAACCTCAGGCGGCAGCGCCGCGCCCCGCCCCGCCCCTCTCCCGAAGCCCCGCCCCGGCGCGGGATTCCCCCCCCTCCGCGGCCTCCGCTCTGGTCCCGGCCCCGCCCCCCGCGACCCCGCCCCGCCCCCGCCCCCGCCCCCGCCCCTGCCCCGGCGCGGGACCACCCTCCGCCCGGCGAGGCGGGGGCCCAGCGCGCCCGGCACTCTCGGCGGTCCGGGCCCCTCGCCACCACCGCCGCCGCCGCCGCCGTGAGTCCCGCGGAGCCGCGCGCGCCCCCGGCTGGACCGAGCCGCCGGTCGACCAGCGGAGCCGCAGGAGCCCGCGGGGACGCCATGCGAGCCAGGTAGGCAGGCGGCGGCGGGGAGCGCCTCGGGCGGCAGGGCCCTGGGGGCCGGCGGGGACGCGGGGTCGTGCTCCGGGCTTTGCACTCTCTCGCGGGCGCCGATCGTGCCACCGCCGCCTGAGTTCGGGGCTGCGCGGGTGCCTGGGCGCGGGGCGGCTTCGGGGTAGCCTCGCGCGCCCCTCGCCGCTTCCCCGGGCGCTCGGGTCGCCCCGGTGCTGGCGGGCAGGGACCCGGCTCGGGGTTCCGGGGGCCGAGCAGCTCTCAGAGCCCCCCGCATGCGCTCGGGCCGACCCCCCCACCCCGGCTCTGGCCACTTCCCGGCGGGCGGCCCTGCAGGGTGGCCTCCCTGGGCAACCGGACGCGTCCTCGGGCGCGAATCGGGGGGCGCGCTCTGCTCGTGGGGGCCGTGGGGGTCACGGGAGGGCGTAGAGGGGTTGGGGCGCCCCCCTCGCGCGGCGCTGGGGAGGAGGGAAGGACGCGCGGTCTCCAGTTAAACTTGTTGGTGACAATGCATATTTCAACTTCTTCGGAGATCCCTCCTGTGAGGATGAAATTGAAAACTCCGGTTTCTGGCTTGGCGATCGGGTGACCGGGCAGCCGCGAGGTGACAGCGCCGGCGGCCAGCGGGCGGGGACCGGCTGGGATAGAGGCGCGTTGTTCTCTGAGCGATGTTTACCGAGAAGCCCGCTCCGCGGCACGGGCGGGTGTCTGTTGGGACCCCAACCCTGGGTCCCGCGGCTCCTAGCCCGGGGCCTGCGGTGTAGACGGGGTTGGGGGACAGGCCCAGCTGGCCCTGACCGGGTGTCGGGCGCCCAGATATGCCACGCGGGAGGAGCCGCAGGAGAGCCGCCGGGCTCAGCGAGCAGAGGGTCGTGGAACCTGATGGATCAATGAAATCTGAAAAAGAACACGGTGCGAGATTGCATTCTTGCTTATTCTTTTCAAGTTAATAGGCAGATTGGAACTATAGAATTTATCCGGGATAATAATAAAGTTCGCATAACTTTTGTTCTGATTACAGAAACAATGTACGGTAAGGGCAGAAAGCTGGAGATAAAGAGAAATATAAACAGCAAACAGGAAGCCATCCCCAAACCCACAGTTTCTACCAGCGTTGTCACAGCCTGGCAGATTTGAACATTAAGTTAGAACTGAGCCATTCTTGCCTAAACCAGAGAACCCCTGAATGCAGCTTCCCCTTCTCACCCTTGTGATCGTCTCTGAGCTCCAAAGTTTGCTTTTTTTCCTTGCTCCCTACTCGGGCAGAGCCTCTGCTGGCCACGAGTCCCCTTCCCTGTGGGCTGGGGCTTTCCTTGAGATCCGTGGCCCAGATGGAATGATGGGAGAGGCCTGGATCCTCACCGCCCTCTGTGGTTTTGGTTCCTTGCCTTGTAAAAATGAAGGTAATGATTCTCAATCTGCTTCTCAGGCCACCATAAAAATTAATGGGTGGTTTGTAGAGCGTTTTGACATCCGTGGATGGACAGCGGCTGTACTTTAAGGTGCTGGGGAACATTTTGCTGTTCCTCATTGCAGTGGTCATCCAGTGTAATATAGGCTGCTTCTCACCTGGCCACCCTGCCCAGGAAACAGACTCCAGGAATGTCCAGTGGAGCCCTGAGGACAATATTCCTGGTTCCCTGCTCAGTGCCCTCGGGATTCGGCCAAATCCCTCTAAGTGGGAAGCTTGGGAGGAGGCAGCACTGTCAAATCCCTCTCCCGGACCTCTGCTTTCTGCTTGTAGGCAGATTTCTTAAAGTAAGGGGGCAGTGATATTTAGGCAGGACCCCAGATTGCCCACTGCCTGATGTTTGTGGGTCTGTGGAATGCCCGGGCTGTGCTTATCCAAAAGAACAGTTAGTTCTGGGAGGACGCGTGAACTGAACAAACCTGGCTTCCTAGGGATTTGTATGGCTCACTTGTTTACTAAATGAACAATGACCGGCTGCGGAGAAGCCCAGGACACTTCTGTGAGCTTTATTATTTTTTTTCCTGTTGTCCCAAGACTACATTTTAGTGATCTTATAAAACAATAAATAAGAAGCCATGCCATTTGTTAATTTCGGGTACCAAAGGCCCAGGTGGGGAGAGGTACTTCACAGCATGCCTTTTGTCCCCAGGCACCCATGCCACCCCGCCAACCACAAAGTAATCAGGGTAGAAGATCCTCTTTCTGTAACAGTTTGTCATTTGATAGTTTCATTTTTTAAATTGTGGTTTCCACCAGCACGTGGATCTGATCAGGGTCTGTCTAGTTGCAGATGACAGCTCAAGCGGGGGTTTTGGAAAGACCCAGAAAGTGGGCTGAGAAAATTGCTGATAAAGTGTCCTTCACCGGGTGCCTTGTCTGTCAATGTATTGTGCTCTTACTTTTCTCAGTGGAGGGAGGACCTTCCTGGGTTTTCTCCATTGCTCTTGTTTGCTAATCCGGCAGCCTGGAATTATTTCCCTCTGGGCTGCTTGAATAGACTTTCTTCTTATTCTAATACTGGGTTCTGGTCTGATCATAAGATATGCGAATGGTGAATGTGGTTTACGCCCTTGAGTCCTGGGAGGTGTTCCTGGTTTTAAATCCTGGGATCCTGGCCAGTTAAGAGCCCTTGGCTCCCCTGAGATTGCGTGGGAGGTGTGTGTGCTTTCTCTTCCTGGGGAGCTTCTTACAGAACCCTTGACCCAAACAAGGTTAAGAGCTCCAGAATGCGGCCCTGCAGACCTCGTCCCTGGCCCCTGGCTCCGGGCAGACCTCCCCGTTCCTTGTTTCAGGTACCAGCCTTGTTTTGACCAAGTAGGAACTGCTGTTTACAATTGGCCAGCCATGTGGATTTCCCTTAGCTTTATTGTTTTCAAATTCCACACCTAAATGGGGCTGTGCTGTGATTTTTCTTCTGAAAGTTGGAGTCAGGCCCCTGGGACATTTCCCAAGGCCCTGGGGGTGGGCATCAGGTCTTTGTTGCGAGGTCGCCGCCTGACAACCAGGAATCCGAAAAGGTCACCGAACACTAAATAGAGTTCTCAGAGCACTCAGTGCACGGGTCAGCTTTGCTCCTGGCCGGGAGTGAGCCTCCATCCAAGCAGCGTTTACACTTAGCTTCTGGGGAGCCGGGCTAGGTCTCTGGGCTCCCCAGCTATTTGCACAAAAGAAGCCTCACATTCTGCCACCACCCTGTGGAGCAGTGACAGAAAAACAATTCATCTAGCCCCCAAACGCCCGGGGAACAGTCCAGCTACTTGATTCAGTATCCTCCAGGAAGCCGAAACCAACTCCTCGATGGGCCCTGAGGGCATCCGTGTGTTACATAACCCAGCACCTGATGCCACCGTGACCTCGCTAAAGGGAAAAAGTCTCAAGAATCAGTCTTCAGATGGCGAGGGAGTGCAGAATACGCTTGAGAAAGAAAGGCTGTGTGCGGTGTTTAAGAAGGGTGAAATCCCACGTAGAACATCACAGCCTCCCGTCTTCCAGGTGAACAGTGCCTCCTGAAGTCGTCAGGAAGCATGTGAATTTGAGGAGGTAGAATTGCTGTATGGAATTCCTCTAATTTAAGGTTTGGGGTATTTTGAGGGATGGAAATAGGTACCCCTTGTTGAGGGCTTACCATATGCTAGGCCACATGTGTGCCCTTTTGAATCCTCACGAAAACTACCAGAGGTTTCATTTTACAGGGAAGCTACGAGAATTTAAGAAACTCCTCCAACCTTAGACTTTAATGAGTGCTTGACTTGGGATTTGAACCTGGATCTGTCCAAGTCCAGAGCTCGTCATCACATATCCCAGGGTGCTGAGATTGAAGAAACGAACGGCTGTCAGTCACACATTGGAGCCTGAAGATACAGGCATGCAAATAGCAGGGTGCCAGCCTCCTTCACCCAATTAGAAAATAGCTTGTACTCTGGAAATCTTTAAAACATGTGATGCTTTCTCAGCCTAAATGGAAGGCAGCCATTTTGCACCTTTGTTCCTGAAACCCTCACCCCATCGCCAGGGTGAAGCAAGGTTTATTTGGAAGATTGTGACTTTGAACTCAGGATTTGGTACAACATCTTTCCTTGTCCCGTGAAAAGCGCGCGTTTGGGCACATGAGGTCACTAGAATGAGATTAAGATTATAGGAAGGCTGTTAAGTAAATGTACAATAAGGGTTCCACCTTCCTCTTTACAATCAAATAAATGACATACTAATGAGATTATTCTTATCTGTACAATAAAAGCTTGTCTCAGGGGAGCTCTCTTTGCTGAAGCCTGTTAGCCCAATTCTTCTGTAGAGATTGAGAAGAATACTTCCTTTGAAAGGATTTTATGGTTCCAAGTTTTTGTTAAATCTTCCCCCCAATCTGCATAACTGAGGACAACCCTGCCTCTTTGTGTGTGTGTGTGTGTGTGTGTGTGTGTGTTGAGATTTCTCTGTTACCCAGGCTGGAGTGCAGTGGCTCAATCATAGCTCACTGCAGCCTTCAACTCCTGGGCTCAAGCAATCCTTCTTCCTCAGCCTCATGAGTGGCTGGAACTATATAGGTGCACACCAGCACACCCGGGTAATTTTTTTTTTTTTTAATTCTTGTAGAAATGGGGTCTCACTATGTTGTCCAGGCTGGTCTTAAACTCCTGGATTCAAGTGATCCTCTGGCCTTGGTCTCCCAAAGCACTGGGCTTACAGGTTTGAGGCACGTTGCCCTGCCCTTGTCCCATTTTTATGAGCTACTAAAGTCTGCAGGCCTGAAGAAAGCTTTTCTAGCCCCTCCAATGTAGGAGGTCCCTGAGCCCATAGTCTGCTGGTAAACCTGCTCTCTGAGGAAAAAGCAGAACTTTGATTGCAGTATCTGCCAATTTCTGTGATGTAAATACTCCCACCACGGCTAATTTCTTTCTTTCTTTTCTTTTCTTTTTTTTTGAGTCTCACTCTGTCGCCCAGGCTGGAGTACAGTGGTGCAATCTTGGCTCACTGCAACCTCCACCTCCCAGGTTCAAGCTGTTCACCTACCTCAGCCTCCTGAGTAGCTGGGACCGCAGGCGGGCACCACCACGCCCAGCAAACTTTTGTATTTTCAGTAGAGACCAGCTTCCCCATGTTGGCTAGGCTGGTCTCTGACTCCTGACCTCAGGTGATCCGCCCACCTTGGCCTCCCAAAGTGCTAGAATTACAGATGTGAGCCACCGTACCCAGCCTGATTTCAAACTGCCAGTTTGGGCTAGGAACACTACTAAACAGTGAACAATCTGTGTGAGCCAGTAAGAGCTGGGTCCTGCTCACCGTTCCTTGCACTGAGCCCATCCACTTGACAGCCCCGCTTCCCCTCCCGTCTGCCCCATCACTTAATAGCCGAAATCGTGGCCTCACGTCTGCTTGGTCCCTGTCTGCCTAGGAGCAGTGCTGAAAAAGGATTTGGGTACTACTGAGTAACCAAATTTGGCCAGCAAGAGTAGAAGGCTTCAAAACTCATGCTGCATTTTAAAATCACCCGGGAGCTTGAAAAAACAACAGTCCATGTTCCAGGCCCATCCCCAGTTGAATCAGAATGTCTGGGTGTGGGGCCAGACCTCTGTAGATTTGGAAAGCTTCCCGGGTGACTGTAATGTATATCCACGTTGAACTCCAGGGATGTGGTAATGAATTTGTTCAAGAAGAAAGTTGGGGGTGGGGGGGCAATTTGGGGCAGGGCGTGGCAGACCCTGTATTGAGCCCAAGGAAGTAAGATCTCCCTTGAAAAGCAGGCAATGTTTTTCCTTGAAGCCTGGGAGCGGGTGAGGAAGTGCTGGGCTAGGAGAGGCAGGTGGAGCCCATCTTGCCCCGAGCAGGTCTGCCCTCCTCCAGGGGCACGTGTCCTACACTGATGAGGTCCACATACTTGTTTAGCTTTGGTTGCTTCTGCTGGTCTAGAAAGGAAAAGGATCTTCCTTCCAGGAAGTCAGGGGGTCAGGATGAAGCCAGGCAGACCCCCTGGGTGGGTGTGATGAGCTGTTCTCAGATGTTAAAGCAGAGGGGCTTACTGGGACCACCCAGGCGAAGGAAAGAGAAATCCTATGGCTCGAGGACCAGAGCTGAGCACTTCGTAAGAGTGCTTGAGCTTGGGTGCACACGTAAGCTGATTATTTTTTCTCCATCATAATTAGCAGTAAAATTATTTTAAAATGTGAGAGCTTTCTTCGGAGGCAGTAACCATGTGGGAGGGAAACGTCATTCAACTTCAGAGCCAGCCTTGGTGAGCGGGGCTGGGACTGCGGAGAGGCATACGTGGCCCCTGGGGTGCAGGAGGCACACAAGGCCCCTGGGATGCAGGATTCAAGGAGGTGCTCACCCTGGGGGGTGTCTGGGGA